CTGTCCCCATGATGATAGCAATTATCACCCCGGGAAACGCTACCAAGCCTGAAAAATTATCGGGTTCAATCCCCAGAACCCAACCCAACCCACGAAAAATCAACCTCCCACAAAAACGAGCAAGCCCCCCGCCTTGACCCACCGGAGTTCATGAAAAGTTGGAAGAGACAAGCTCACCGAAGTTCCTTTAGTGATAGGGGTAGTGAGGAGAGTAGCGCGATGGGCGGGGTATACTAAGTTATTAGTTGACGAGCTGTTGAACCTTTCGCTCAAAATTGGTATGTCAGACCCTAGTGCATGGATTATCACTCGAGGGGGAAGTACATCAGTTTGTAGACTTGGTAGGTTCCTCCTAGGCAAGGGTCTCATAGTCAAATTCATATGTATTAGACAGTAGTATTAGACAGTAACTCGGGTGACCTAGGTGACAAGAGGTGTTGACTTTCACTTGAGACTATCCTAGAACTTTCCTCTCCAGCCCCCGGGCCGCTATCTGGGGTATTCTCTCGTTCCAGTTCCAAATACAGCACACCGCATCATAAACGCAGGTACCCAAACCACAAAAGACATGCTGTTTTGATAGATTGGTGTAAATGGCATCCCTCTATTCTCTCCTTTTTGAAAACCGTCCCCCCTTTCGCTCGTGAGTCACCTTTACTGCCGCAAACTCTGAATAAAAAACAAATCTGCTACATGCGCACACACTCTTATCGCTTAATCCGCCAGAGCGCCCAAGAGATCGGGAGAATAGGCCTCGGTCGGAAACCCCAGTAATATATCCACAGATATTGTTGTTTTCTTAACTAGATTTCTTGGGTGCAGCACCACCCGGGGGCACTATGGGATAATTAGTTGGTCGTAAGATATAAAGTCTCTATTAGCTGCCGCTCCCCTCGCGTTTTCGTCTACCCGGCTGTTGCGAGCCTCACAGGGGGATCTCCCCTTTAACGCATGGCCAGGAATGGGCTGTTAGACTGCTTCACTCCTTGGGTTAGGCTGATGTCCTATCTGTTTCTATCTATCGCCAGGCCACACGAAATGTTAGCTTGGAACCTACCTCTACCTCGGAGTTGCGGAGGTAGGATTGCACACCAGATGACAAGGCTTTAGCTCATATATTGTACGAGAGGTCAACATGTCCCCACCTACCTCAATGACCGCGCCACACCAGTGCCCCTGATCTAGCATGCCCGTCCTGTCTCGGTAGCCGCGTGGCAGCCGATCTCGGAGCATCCTGGGATGCGCGTGGGATGACATTTAATCGGCTTACCAAAAGATCTGTGGGGGGGTGTGGATGGTGCAGGCCTGGAGGTTCACCGTTTCAGAACCTTCTTGAGCCTCTTGGGCCTCAAAGTGATCGGCAAAACCAAAACCCGATCTCCAGCTGGATTGGGTATCTGCCTCGCAAATAGCTGTAACATTCTTCTTAACGAGCCTTCGCAATCGTCTTCCCGACCCCCAGAGGAGGCCTCGCGCTTCTGTGCCTGCTCGTTCCCAGGCCGGGATAGCTCTTAGTGCGCCCCCAGAGCTGGCTCTCAGTAGGTTAGTCTACGAGAAAAAAAAAAGAATAAGTGATATTTGCTAAGCTTCCACCACCGGAGTGTCTGGACAAAAAAGACTTGGTGTGGAACGTTCAGTCTGTCTCAGTGGACATCTCAGTTTCCTTTTTCGTTGTTAGGTAAAGTACGGGGACAAATCGTTCCGTACGACATGAGTTTTTACACTAAATATGGCGAAAAGTCAACATTTTCAGAGCCGCAACATCCACCGCTGCCTTATTAAAAACAATTAAATTTTTGATATTGGGTAGGAAACCACTTAGGCCTCATCCTCATAGGAGCGTGGATAGAAAGTGGTGAGATTAAGTCAATAACTTACAATAGTATCACCAAGTCGAAAAATGACTTAATATTTTGTATGGGGCTCCATAGAAAAAGGTGCATGGCAACCACACACCATGCACTTGCCTTATGTTATCTCCATGATTTTATAGGTTTTGAGAGTTCTGCAAAGTTTCATATTTTATCCTGGGTTTTAGTAATGTAGCATGAGATTTTGGTAGATTTTTATAGACATTGATGGTGCCTAAGGGGGTGATAAAAATGCATGCTTTTGGTGCAAAAAAGGCATCGGACGAAACTAATTGACCTGGTACTGTACCTATGCTACTCGAGTAGTTCATGGTACGCGCTGGGGCTATTACAGAACTTTCCGGAGTAAGGCAGTTTAGGGCGCGGGGCTCCGTCTCATTCCTAACTCTTACACTAAGTCGGCGATTAAGATGGCAAAACCGATAATCAGGATGGTGGAAGAGTCCTTCAGGGTTCCTAGATCGTACTCTGCGAAGTAGTGGAGTAAGAGGTCGGTGGAGAAAAGGGTTTAGGCAGCTATGTTTTTTGGAAGCGGTGGGGCAGAAAAGGTAGGAAGGATCCTTCGGGCACCTGGAGACAAACTTGTGCACGAACGACCCTCAGTCTGCAGGGTTGCGGAGAATTAAAGAGGGGGTACTGTACTGTGGGCAGGCAACAACCGAAAGTCACTCAATGACTAGAAGCAATAGGGGCACATTAATTGAAGTTGATTTACTACCTTAAGCATTCCCATGGTCGGGGGGGGGGCCTCACTCCCTTCCCCGTTTCTCAGAACATATCTCCGAATCGTAGCCGATTGAGAGACGCGCCATGGAAATCATCAGGTGTTTATACCGTGCTGAAAATCCGGTATCGCCTACAATAATTCATACCTGAAGCCGGTGCGATCGGAAAGCATGTCCGGTGGGGAATCAAGTGCTTCGCCACCCCTGATAGATTGCTAAACCCTCGGGTGGGCCCATATCTAACTAACCATATAGTTTAGGCTCAGGTAAACTAAGAGCCTAGTGCTGCTCAAGCCCGGGGGCCCTCTATATGCCTTCCTAAATCGCCTTTTACTTCAAGCAAATTCATTACGCCTGTGGCTCTCAGCTTGGATTGGCACCTTAAAGATGCCGAGACATTCCACCAAGCGCAATCCCCGATCTGAACGAAGTCCTAGTGAGATACCAAGACCTGAGCACTGCAAGTCATATTCATAAATTTAATACGTTCCCACTCTCTTTACTCGTACCAATGCTTAAAATTTTCTCTGAAGCTGGTCATCTCGCATTGACCTCGAGACCTCACAATTACTACGGGCAGCTGTGTTGAAGGTTATAGAAGGGTGTGGATTGATTGAGATAGATTGTGGAAGCTTCGGGAGTCTAGCAGGAAGTTCAGAGGTTTGATAGATCACTGGGCAGGTTCAGAGATTGGCGGAGAAGATTCATTGGACATATCTTTCCTTTGTTATTGCGGGAGCGTATGAAGGAAGGGGAAGCATGCATAGAGAGATAGAGATTGGTGTGGTGATCGATGGAAGGATCAGAGTTCATTGTTTGCGTTCTACTTATACATCTGTCTTTACAGTTGGTTTTAGGGAGAGTGTAACGAAGTTTTTGTTTGACCTTAGCTATCACTCTTGATCACATACTGCCATAGTTCCTCACATATCCACTTCGCCTTCTATTCCCCACTGCGCAATACGTCCTCCGCTATTATCCTTATTGACAAGCTGACCGATCGCTGATTTTCCCCCAACGGATCGGAAAAATCTACTAACTACTAGACTAAAACTATCAGTGATCGCAGCAAGATATGGTAATTCGATCGCCGCCTCGGAGACAGCTCTGCGCAAGTATATTCCCGGGAACGAATCGGCCAACCAAACTCAATCTCAGGACATCAGAGATCCGACGTAAATTTGCCTAGCCCCCAAAAATTCCTGTGCAACCCACGATACCCATAAGCCCCATCCAAAATACTAGCGGCAATATATATACCGGATCTCCCGTTCTTACCAAGGACAAAGGTACACCTAAGGGTGAATTACCCATCGAGACCACAGAGAAGAACAACAATAAGAATGACTAATTTGTCCCCTGAAGAAATCTCTGAGAACTACTCAAATCATGTGGGCCGCACACCCAAAATGGCGGCTGCTCAAGTATGGGTAGCCAATCCTGGGGAGCCATCACCCAAAGAGGGATATAATAGGGATGAGCATTTACTTCAATGACAACGGGGAAATTCTCCATCAAACTGTATTGAATTGAGCTTGTAAGGCCAATGTGAACGAGGACCCATGACATCGGCTTCCCCGAAAATGCCAACGGGGCCCGCTTCCAGTGCAGCTCAAATACTTACGGTTAGAAATCCGAACTCCCGGATGCAGCGAGGACGACACCTTAGGGTCAGCTTGAGGTCATGCTAAGCCCTACTCATTAGTAACGTACGGAGGTGGGGCACCTAAGTTTTGTATATTTTACTAGCATGGGGGTGCTCAACTAGCAGGGGTAAGGGGACGATTTAAGTAATGTTCGCTACGGATTGGGTAGCTTTCACAGAAAACTACCCGGTTTGGGCATCTTACTTTTGCTATCCGGGAACCCCCTTACTAGTGAAATATACAAAACTTAGGGGTTGTACCACCGTAGAGTAAGAGTGTATTCAGTATGATAATACTATGCGGCTATTTTTAACGCTACGGGAATGTCTATATGCTCATACTGCAAGTGTCGTTGAGCCTTTCATTCGTAATAGGAAGTTATTCGGTTTGGCGTACAGTTTCCCCCCCAGCCTCGGCCGCCCTTGGTCGCTCACCTTTCCTGCCATCTACTCACTGAGGAACCACCAGGAATTTTAGCCACTAGTGGCCCCTACCCGTGATCTCGTGTACATGTATTAGGCCGGTTTTCTTCACCATCTACTGCGTTTACTAGATGGGAAAACTCTCCGGGTGTCACGAAATACGTTCAAAGGCCAAGCTATATGAGGTGACATCACGAGGAAATAAAAACAATCATATTCCAAAACTCCAATCAAGCTCCCTCCCAGCCCGGAATTTCATAACCTCCATAAATACCCGGCCACCTTATTTTTACAAAGGGAATACAAAATCAAGCCCACTCATCAACCCACAAACAATTATTCCTTCTCGGAAACATCTCTGATCTCGGGAACATCTCTGATCTCGGGAAAATCTCTGATCTCAGTGTCATTCGCAACTCCACCCACCGACATCCGACCCGGCAACTCCACCCCTCTCCCATCCACCCTCCTCTGCTCTTCCTCAACCCTACCCCCAACTACCAAAATCGGCCTCGTACCCGCCCCCTTCCCCCATATCCACCTTCCAAAGAACCACCTAAATTGACGAACCCCATACATCGCTTGAACCTTACTCGACACTTCGAAAACCGTATTCAATTCCTCTAGCGTGCGATTCCTGGTCTCAGGTACGAACAAGAGAATGAGCACGAACCCCACAATGTTCAGTCCAGCATAAATCCCGAAAGCGCTCGACCCTATCGTCTTGTGGAGCGGCGGCCAGGTGATCGTCAGTAGTCCGTTGAAAAACCAGGTTGTGGCAGTCGCAATAGCCATGCCTATGTCGCGAATGTAGAGTGGGTAGCACTCTGCAGAGTAGACGAAAGGGACAGGTCCCTCGCCAGGGGAGTACACAACGGCAAACAGATACTGCGAATTTTTATTAGCGAATGATCGTTGATGATATGAAGTGGAACGGAGGGGGGAGGGATACCATTCCGATGAGAGTCAGTGGTCTCCTGCTGTTACCGTCGGGGTCATCCAGTAGACAGGTTAGCAGCATGCATAGCGCCATCAACGGGAATGTGAATAACAAAAGGTTGCGCCTGCCGAAAGTGTCTATCGTGCGGACCGCCGGAACCGCAAATACGAAGTTGATGATCCCGATACCCATGCTGCCCAGGAGCGCATTGCGAATGCTGATGTAGCTATTGTCTGTGCCCTTGAGCACCTCAGAGGAGTACTGCTATTGTTAGCGATATCATATATCACGGTTTCATATATCACGGTTTCATATATCACGGTTTCAAGGAAAAAAGAAGTTTACATACGTATATTAACACATTGACGCCACACAGCTGCTGCATGAGCATTACTATGAAAGATGCATGCAGCGCATGGCGGTTCCGCGGGATTGTGAAGACTTCCACGAGGCGGTTGCGACGCCTTGAGATCCGTTTCTCCGCTTCTAGGAGGACATGGATGTATATCAGATCCCGCGCGGCTTGGATGTCGGAGTGGCGGAGGCGGATCAGTGACTTAAAGGCTGCTTTGTAGTTGCCTTTTTTAATGTACCAGCTGCGCTTTTCGTTTAGCTAACTAATTTTGAAGGTAGTGCGGAGGGGGGGGCATAATTACCGAGGTGATTCCGGGTTAAAATATACGAGTGCACAGACAATTATTGGGATGAACATGGGACTAACCATCATGTAACGCCAGTTTACACTCTTACCACCTAATTAGCTTCGTCTTTCTCGCTAGGGTGGTGCGGACATGAATACATACACATTTGAAAGTCAACAAATTCCCCAGCTCCTCCGAGCACAAATCCTCATTTGCACCATTACCAAGGCCGAACAACGCCATGTCCACCACCAGCCCCAGCATGATCCCGAATGCCGTCCACATCTGCCACATCATAACCAATCCACCACGGATAGTTGGAGGAGTACACTCAGATGCGTACACCGGGATTGTTGCACTCTTCGGTCCTATGCCAAGACCTTGATTACTCATCAGTACAGCTTTCCGAAAGCGGAGGGAAATGGGCATCAAAGTGGTCAAACCAAGCAGGAATCTTGCCGCCAGCATCTGCTGCCATGTGTTCGTAAAGCCTTGGGCAAGGCAGGTTATTGAGCTGATTACGCACGCAATGAAGATGGTGCCACGGCGGCCGCAGTAGTGGTTTAGGGGTTCTGTGAGCCTATGTTTCGTGTTATTTCCGCGAGCCTAGTCGAGTAACTAACGAGGTGAAGCACAAACCAACACCCAACCGTAGCGCAGCATATATATGGCGCCGCGTTCACAGCGCCGTAAAGCCATTTGTCCTTCTCTTCGCCAATGCCGAAGGCGTTCTGATAGAAGGTATTTGCTATTGGTCAATTCTAGTTAGATGGGGGATAGGATCTTCATCTAAAACGGAATTAAAATCCTTGGGGAAATATGACGAACAAACCTCCATTAACAGCAGTTCTGAGAGAAAATCGATCATAGGTTAGCATAACTGCCACCATCCCTAGAAGAAAAACAAAAGTAACAAAAATAAAGGAAGAGAAACGGAGACACTCACTCGTCCCACCCCTGGGTAGCAGCGCCCAATGAACACATTATCACGAGCATATACAAGCTCTTGGGCTGATCCCACTTATGCGTCAATTCCCTCTCCAGCTCATCCCGCTCCGTACTGAGCCTATCAACAGTCTGGAACTCTGAATTTGTCTCTCGAAATGATAATGGGTTCTGCGCGAGCACCGCCGCACGCTGGAATAATTGAGTATATTCCACGCCCAGCCCCTTCTCATCGACGAAGTCGCGGCCGAGCTCCTCGAGCTCGGCTCTCTGCTTGCCCGCGAGGGGGTTCGCTAGGAGGCGGTCAGGTAAGATTGAGTCTGATATACTGCTTGGGGGTTTTTCCCCGTCAGGGGTGGTGTTTGCTGTTTGGATCCCCTCCATTAGTGGTCGGTGCGGTGAGGGCTTGAGTGCTAGGGAGTGGTGTCCGTTGATAGGAAAACAGGGAGAATATCAAAAAGAGTATCGGAGGAGAGAAGGGGGAGGTATTATAAAGGCATCTGCGAATAGCGCTATTTATGAAGAGAAGGCAAGCAAAAAAATTAACAGGAGAATTGACCAAGCTTCTACTCGAATGGCTTGAACTCCGTAAAAAAAAAAAAATTCCACGACACGGGTGCGTGAGTTGGCAGGAAACTAAACCAATCAACCCAAGGCCTACGGAATACTACATTTATAAGCAAAACGAAGCAAAAGTAATACCACTATGGGGTATATACCGGTACTCTCTCTACTCATATACGGTAACTAGACTGCAGAGCCTCCTTACCCCTCGCTACTCGAGTACTTGTCAATCCACCGTGAGAAACTTAACTTACCCCGTATCGGTAACTCCCCACTCAGAACGGGGCTATGGCAAAAGAAACCCCCACTCCCCTCCCCCCTCCCCCCTCCATCCCCCAAATCCTCAATCTTTGTCTAGAGTATTCCAGTCCGAATCGAGATTGCGGAGGAGCACCCCGAAAAGCCACTTTCCTAGCCGCCTGTAACTCTTACACGTGAGTCTCGTAACTTGCGTTTAAGTGCACCGCCCAGAGACGGGCATACGTACTCGAGTATCACGAATAATTTATTTCTTTTGGTCAGTTTGCTTTCCGATACGAGGCAGTGAACTGGTGATGAGGGTAGGTGGGTGGGCAGGTGGGTGGATTGGTTGGTTGGTTCGTTGGTTGGTCGGCCAGTTCAGTGGCGGTAACGGCACAACACAAGCGACCGAACCGTTGCAGACGTGCCGTGCATCTTTTCTGCGTGGGCTCTAGATTATCACATACTCGAGTACTGTCACTCATCTAGAGTAACTGAATACGTGCAAGGAGTAATAGAAAAAACTCCCCCAGAATTTGCCAAGTTAACCGGAGACTATGGGCAAGAATGGATCTCATAGAATCCCTAATAAAGTGAATCAAGCCCACTAGTACCCCACCTACAAGCACGAAGAAACACTTCTATGGGGAGGGTATCCGTGAGATTAGCTTATAGTACTATGGATGAAGAGCTATGATATCATACTCCTTATTGCACATACCCTCACGTGTGTATTCTAGGTTTGGTTCAGCTTTCGTTAGCTTAGATAGGGTTCGAAAGGATTATAAGGAGCTTCTTCTCCCCCCAGCTCCTCGCTTCTTTCATACCCCGTGCTTGGTGATATTCTGAGCTACGGTGGAGAGTGGCGAAGATGGTGGGGAACACTTTCAAGAACACGATTGTGAGATAGCTGCTCAAATAAAGTTTGGTTAAGAGCCTTGTATTTTGAGAGCTCTTGCGCACACCGGTAGCCGCGTTCCCGAAATTCCCCCCGACACGACTCCAAACCAGAACCGAGAATTGCCCACTACCATACGAACTCATTAAGAGAATGGAAATTTCCTCCAACTCTTCCATTCCCGCTTGCTCAATTGTGGTGTCTGGTGTAACTTCAAAGCAATCGGCCTGGGTTTCCGACATCTGTTACCCCGTGTTCCTTACCTATCACCAGCCAGGCCAACATAATCGTCCGATCAAATGATCCCCAGATCGACATCCACTATCATGGTTCCCGATTCTTAAGGACCTGCCTGCCCCTCCCAGTTAAAAACTGGCATCAAAAGTCATGAGTAGGCTGGCATTTTACGCCAAAACTGAGTAACTTTACATCCGGAAATCTCACCGTGCCCGCTCTGATAAAGAGGGATCTAAAATCCGATAAACCCCCCAAAATCATATAGAACCTGCTCCGATAAAAAAATCAGCCTCCATCAATAGGTTTTGAGAGAGAAACATCAGAAACATTTGGGGTGGACAGAAGATACCTCAAATCATACCAGTTTTCTGTACGGAGGTACAACCCCTAAGTTTTGTATATTTCACTAGCAAGGGGGTGCTCGGCTAGCAAGGGTAAGATGCCCAAACCGGGCAGTTTTCTCTGAAAGTTACCCAATCCGTGGCTAATATTACTCAATTCGTCCCCTTCCCCCTGCTGGTCGAGCACCCCCTTGCTAGTAAAATATACAAAATTTAGGTGCTCTACCTCCGTAGAACAGGTGAACTGCAACATATCATGAGCAAATCTTTAGCCATCAGCGCTCACACAAAGGTGACAATAATCCCATCGTTTTCACTGAAATAAGCAATGCAACAGCAAAGAACATGAGGCTACTTTGTTCTATCTTGTTTTTGGGTGAGTTATAAGTTCTTAAGCCATGTATTTTTGGTGCAAACTGCCAACTTACTCATGCCTTTTAATGCCAGGATCCTATCATATTGCACAGTACTCAAGGACCTATGCGAACCCCTCTAATCCCAGTCCTACGATCACCCATCCGGGAACTCCCGTTTCTGCGTGTGCGAAAGCATTGATTGCCTTTTTCCTGCTAGCTAGTGCGCAGTAGCTGTCGCGCCATGGCGGGGAAGTGTGTAACCCCTGCACTTCCTTTTTTTTTAATTGGCAGATGCAAGGCAACAAGACCCCGGCAGTTTGAAGTTTCCAACCACAATGAGGGAACATTTAAATGCAAGCCACTGCTTGGCCAGAAGTGTTACACAAACTTTCCCCACTACCGCTTCTGGCACCATTCCCTATCATTCGAGTTTCCTTTTCGGGACCCGGTTTCGCCATTTCAATACAGTACTTTTCTAGCACTTCTACAGGTATGGGGTTTGAGAAAAGCTGGGGCAGTGTGATGCGTAAGGACGATTGTACGCTTAGTGTTACGAGTACAAGCAAGACCGGCACGCAGACAGGTATATATTCGGCCGGATAGCCTTAAACCACTATTCACTACCGTAAGAACTCGAATAATTGAACCTCGCGCTAGGACGTTCAGAATTCCCTCTCTTGGATAGGGGGCCGAGAGCACAGCGAAAACCGACTCCCCGCTTAAGAGAAAAGAAAAAGTAAAAAACACCGCACCATACCAGCAGAGGCAACACCGACGTCCTAGCTCCAGGTTCAATTATTCGAGTTCTTACGGTATTACTCTTAGACTACCCACACCAGCGGTAAACAGAACGTCAACCCGCGATAGGCCCAGTTTAGCGGGTTAAAATAATTGGAAATACAAGTTAATGAGATCCCACACATATCGTCGCCTAACCCATACAGTGTCCGGGAAAGCTATTCTCAAGAGCCTTGTGTTCGGATCCAGGGACTGGTAACCTATGGGAGATAATTACTGCGGGAGACCCTACTCGTACTTGCCCGAGTACAGCACTACGGCCCCGTTCCCTGCGACAGCATCCAACTAGAAAACTCGACATTCAATGGGTCAAGCCGTAGCAACGTATGATACAGTGAGCTCATTGCATCATATCATATCGAGGGGCAACGGGCTCACCCGCCGTCTTTCCAACTACCGGTAGTCCTCCATCAGACACCCTCCCAAGGCATCCCCATCCCCGCATATCAGGACGGAGAAAGGAACAAAAACAGAAAAAGGAAGAGAAAAAAAGCCTTCCAAACAATCGTATGATACTCCCAAACCGCAAGGCAAACACGGCACGATCGGCTACCGGTATTGTGCTCGCAGGCAACCGCACAGTTTCCACCACCAAGCTGTCACAACTTGGTTCGCGTTACTCGTACCGCTAGCTTGAATAAGTAGGTTACATATTAAAACCATCCGGTTTGAAATATCTGAACGATCGTACTTTACTATACGGCTGAGTACTATGGTATCGTAATGCGAATTATCAGCCAAGTTGTACGGCTCACCATATTCCTCGCAAAAGATGTTGGTTGGCACCATGGGGTACGGGGCGGGTGTGGACCCGGTAGGAGAAGGGGCATTCTTCCTAGGGCTAAGAATGTTCATTGGAGATTCCTCGTCTGCCGTCCTATTATAATACAAGAATCATAGGGACCCATTGATAGTGCCGGAATCCGGAAGCTAGCGTTTTTTCCGCTTTTTTTCACCTAGTAAAACCGCAAAAAAAACAGTAGCGCATTGTCATAAATTGGAATATGGGTTTATCTTTTCCAGAATGCCCTTCCTGCGGTTCCCGGCTAGCGCTCGCTTCATCAACGAGCAGAGTTCAAGGAATTAAAGAGGAAAGCCAATTTCAGGCAGCTCTACCCAAATTATTTCTCCCAAAACTTTGCTGTCGTAGCTGGGCTAGATGGTTATTGGATTGGTTATGATGAGGGTCGATTCTAGACGCCTGGCACCACATGACACCGGTACCGAACCAAAGTTTGGAAAAAAGAAATCCGAGGTTTATGTTTGGTAGCGAGTTTAATGCAAAGGGCTGCACACCGAAGGCACCGGTAGTCAATAGCCAGGTTAATGAAATAGTTCCACTCTGCAGGCCTGAAGGTGACGATCAATGTAGGAGCCTACGCTAAGAGCGCAAGGCTGATTTGTGTTATATTGGGTTCTACAGAAGCAACGGACAGTGTCTGGCTCTTACACTAGTATGCAAGAGGGTGGTCAATACGAGAGCCACAGCGCCCAAGATCGAAAAATTCGTCTTTATTGCACGAACTCCCTTCAGACACCGGCAGTCCAAATACGAGTACTAGAGCACTCAAGTAGGGGGGGGTGGAGCGTGTTGTGTTTGGTCGTGGCGGCCCATCGGATCGATATTTTGTGAGGAATGACAGCTTTGTCTCAAACGGGGGCACCGCCGAGTGGACGGACAGGGGTATTCGGCAAGCGAGAATGTGAGTTCTTCAAAGGAGGGTAACAAGAAATTACCTGTTACAAGTACTGTACTGATCCCTGTTCGTCCGCTGGTGTTCGTCTAGTGCCCAGGGGGTGAACACAAGTGAGGCGAAGTTGCTATCATACTGAACTGGATTTTAACCGACCAAGGTTTGGTGAGTATAACTATGGAAACGGCCAATCCCGGCGTTCTTTTGAAGGGGGAAAAGTGAGGCGAACTCAAAATCTACCAACCCCAAAACTTCC